GGGAAGGCTCACTCAGCCATGATGAAGATGTTCACCTACCATTGCTCCCAACACCATGATGTGGTCACTCGCATGGTCACTTCCAAGAACGCTCTGAAGGCTCGTCTGAGAGACTCAGGAGTGTATGATGTGAGTGACAATGAGCGTCATCCTGCAGACCCCCCTTCTGACTTTGGTTTTCCCTCCGGTCCTGAGTGGGCTGATTTCTTCGACGAGGCTGGTGGCAGTGGTGTTCATGATGATGATGATGAGGATGATCTCTAATGCTATTATGTTTCCCCCCCTAGTTTTTTTGGATACTTGATGCCAAAGGGGGAGTAGGCTCCATATGCATGTTATTCTAGCTCATTATGTAATCAAACTTATTGTTATGGTTGTGTTTTAGCTTGTACTGAACCTATATTATGAGTTTGTTGAATCTGAGATTTGGTGAATCTACATGTGATGAATCTATATGAAGTTGAACTCTTGATTATCGTGTGTATGAGTTTTGGTTATACTGGAGGCATCATTTTGAGGGGGATCCCTCATCATTTTGTTTTAGTAGTATCTATGGTATCACTTTGAGGGGGAGCTCGCTCGCTACTCATTCTTATTATGGTTATTGAGCTCCACAACAGATACTTCCGATTACTATTATGAGTATGCATATGAGTTCTCATCAACTACCAAAAAGGGGGAGATTGAAAGTGCAATCATGCCCTTAATCATATTTTGATGTTGATGACAACACATATGCTTGGGACTAATCATGTTTATCAAGTATATCTCAGGATTATGTTTCAAAGACCGTGTGCATGGATCATGACTAGGGACAAAAAGCATATAACTCAAGAATGGAGATACAAGATGTTGACTTCATTTATGGTTTGTTCTTGAGTATAGGGATCCCGCACTATTAAGAGGGGATCGATGGATCTAGTGAAAAACTTGCTCAAAAGCTACTATTTCTATACCTTGCCTTCGGACGTCCGGTCCTTCTTGATTGCCCGGACGTACGGCGTTCCACAACAGAAGCATTTCTACGGATGTCCGGAACCCTCCGGACGTCCGACACTTTCACAACAGAAGCATTCTTACGGACGTCCGGACCATCCGGTCGTCCGTGCTCCGGATGTCCGGCCCTGCTCGGACGTCCGTATCCTGTACACTGGGTTGTGGCTCACATTTTCACAGCGGCCGGTCGTCCGATGACTGTCAGACATCCGGACCTATTTGTGCCTCCGGACGTCCGACGTTCTCCGGACGTCCGGCCTATCCTGTACCCAAAACGGTCACTTTTACCCACCACCTATATATATACCTTTCCCTTCCATGGGATAAGGTTGACCATTCACCTTGAGCCTATCAAGAACACTCCTCACTCTCTCTCTCATTCATCCACGCTAAATCCTAGATTCCCAAGTGTTCTAGGAGCATTTGAGAGAAGTTCTCCAATCAAGTGATAGATCCACTTCTTCCCCTTCTTTGCACCAAAGGAATTCGTGACTTGAGCAAGTTTTGAGCTTTTCCCCATCGTTCTTGTTACTCTTGGAGGTTGGAGACTCCTAGGCGGTAGGAGTCATTCGGAGAGGAATCGAACTTTGTGATTACCCTCGGAAAAGTTTGTGAGGGTTTGGAGACCACCCCAAGGTCTACCACTAGTGTTGAGAAACGCCTCCGTGGTGTTGTCTCAAAGGGAGAATAGGGTGAGCCATCGTGGCGTTGGTGTGCCTTCGTGGTAACATCCACCTCTCTAACGGTGACTAGCTTCCCTCCAAGGAAGTGAACACCGACATACATCCTCGTCTCCCGGAGTTGCGGTTATTGCTAACCCTAACTCTCTACTTGTGGTTACTTGTCTCTTTACACTTACGTACATTATATTGTGCTTGCCTACTTACGTGTTGGTGTTGTTTGCTTAGTACTTTGTGCTCACGTGCAATTGTTAGGCTCATCTTCATATTCCGCATTATTGCCTAAAATTGCCAAGTAATAATTAAAATTTGTAATTGTACCTATTCACCCCCCTCTAGGTCCATCTCGATCCTTTCAGGGGCGGTACAACATGGCACGTCCTCGGCATCCCCGATGCCCGAGCAGCCATGTTCCCTCGCATGCCGGCCTGGAGCGGCAACTTGATGAACCACGCGCCGGCTTTGAGCTTCAGCCTCCGCGAGCTGGTGGATGGCAGCGGCGTGGAGCGTCGAGGGAGGTGGAGCAGACAGTTGCCTGGCTAGTAACTAGCGGGCTCGACAGGCCACCGAGCCAGCTTTTATGCCGGAGAACTCCTCTTCCTCCTCGCCGGATGCCATGGAGATTATGGAGAAAATGATGGAAGGAGAAGATGAGAGTGGAGCGCGTCACGATTTTTGGTTGTTGTCTGGCATCGCTTAAATAGTGGGCGGATGCGAGGAGTCAACCGACATCCTATTTAATGACGGGCGGCTCGCAAATGGATGTGTGGGCGAACTAGGCTTCTCGGCACATATGCAGATTTAATGGAGGAAGGCGGGTAGTCTGTAGCCGTTTGAATGCTACGAGGAGGCGTGTTCAGCTGGACATGCAGTGGGCGGTGCATTGCTTCAATGCCGGCGCGAGTGAGAGGTCGTGTCCGCTCTGGGCCGACGTCAATGCGGAGCGGCCACTCTATAACGACATGAATGCGGCAAGCTGGCTATGGGCGGGAAGACAACGCGGGGTAGAAAGAGGGTTTTTGGTGGGTTAGGGCAGTCAGGAGCAGGCGTGACAGGCTGGCAGCGGCCCGGACGCTTGCAAAGCCCCCCTAGTTTGTCTCTGGTTTGCAAGGGAAAACACGTTCGGACCAGTGGCACATATAGAATTCGACCAATGTGAGGGCAACATTACAAAGGATTGAAGTTTTGGAGTACTTAGGCTGCACCAAAATTAATATAATGGATATATGCATGTGTATGCACTAGTAAAAAATCTTTTTGCAAAATGTTTGTGGGCACACTGGATCTGTCCATGGTTCGAACCACATGGTCCAGGCGTATGCAGGCGGTTTGAGGGTTCCACGTTGGGATGCCCTTACGCCACAAATAATACACGGTATAGGCGCAGACCAGGACTCGTGTTAATGTGCAGTTTGATCAACTTGTAATTATTTATAGTACACTTTTTTTAGTTTTATTTAATTAAAGTGATGAGAAACATATTTTGCCTCCATTCTGAAAATAATAAGAAAAACATTCCCACTTTAACACTTCTCCAGGACCGCTCCACATTCTGAAAGGAAGCACCGTTGGGACGTGGACGTTTGGTCTATGGGACATCTACACCCTATATGATTCTTTTTTAGTAATTCAACAAGAAGTCAATGATTTTTTTTAAAAATAAACTTAACTTTATATTGCACTTGTGAGAAAAATTTCATAAAAAAAAATCCCCCTTTGACTTCTTTTCAAATAAGACAAAATTTTGGCCAAAATAGTACTCCCTCCTTCCCAAAATATAAGGCGTGATTGACTTTATATGGTCTTTGATGCATGACTTCGACCATTAATATACATCAAAGTACATGGATTGAACACGTATAAATGGCATAGTTGTATTTGTCTTGCAAAACAATTTTATTTCATATGTTTGTAAACAAATTTTATAGACATATAATACGTGAAAATCATAATCAAAGTTGTCCTACGAAGACCAGAAAAGTAAACCCACGCCTTATATTTTGGGAAGGAGGAAGTATGAATAGACCCATAATAGCAAATAAATTTTGTCTTTTTCACTGTGAAGTCAACGTTGGTTTTTTTTCTTCTGAAAATTTATATACTAGTGTAAAAGTGAGTCAAGTTTATTAAAAAAAACTTCTGAACTATTTTGACTTTTTATTTAACTATTAAAGAAAAATCTCCCTATATGTATAGGGTGTATATACAAACGATCCAAAGTGTATTAATGAAATAGGGTTTGCCCTCGCTTTTTTGTATTACAAAGAAAAAAGTATACTTTTCATCCCTTAATTCTTGGCGGAGTCTAAATTTGGTCCCTCAACTTCAAAATCGGACAACTTGCACCCTTAACTTCTGATACCTAACAAGATTCATCCCTGGTCACGGTTTTGACCTGTTTTGGCGCTGTCCCACCCTGGTTTTGACCGTTCTGACTCAAATTTGCCTACCTTTTTCAAGTCCACGTAATGTTTTCAAATTTGGTTACTTTTTTCAAGTATGTGAACCTTTCTAAATTTTGTGTACTTTTTCCAAGTTCATGTACTTTTTCAAATATGCGTATTTTTTTGAAGTTCATTTAATTTTTAAAAATTGATGTACCTTTTCATATTTGAGTACATTTTTTTTGAAAGAGTTAATGAATTTCAAAATTTTATGCGAACTTGTTAAAAGTACGCGGATATGGACTTCTTTTACGCAAAAATATGTGGATTTCAAAAATTATTTCAACTTGAAACAAGTACGTGAATTTTAAACAAAGTTCATGGATTATAAATGGAACATGGATCTGAAAAAAATGCGGACTTTGAAAAGCATGTGGATTTGAAATGAGTATGCGAATATCAAAAACAGTTCATGACTTTGAAAAATACTTGGATTTGATAAAATTACACAAACTTGGGAAAAATACAGGGATTTGGAAAAAGTACGTAAATGTTAAAAAATTATGGATTTGAAAAAAATACACGAATTTCAGAATAGTTCGCTGATTTGAGTATGTTTATTTTTGAAAAATACGTGACCTTGAAAAAACTACGCCGAATTGAAAAGTGTATGTGGATTTCAAAAGATTCACGGATATAAAAAAAGTTACAGGAATATGAGTGAGCACGGGTCAAAACCGGGGTGAGTCAACACCAAAACTGGTCAAAACCGAGTCCAGGGATGAACATTGTCCTGTTTGGGTAGTTAGGGGTGTACGTTGTCCGATTTTGAAGTTGAGAGACCAAATATAAACTTCACCTAGAGTTGTGAAAAAAAAAAACTTTTCTCTGTTACAAAGCAAACATCCAAAGTGTATTTCCCGGCACCGTCGATCCTAGCTCATTCAACGCCATCCATATCGATGGACGACCACGGCTTGGCGACCAGAAGCAGAGGCGCCTTGAGGCACACGGAGAGGCCGTACAGCTCGCTCATGTCCACCGGCGGCGATCTCCCGCCGGGCAGCTCCCAGTCGAAGCCATGCACGAGGCTCGCCAGCGCCAGCTCGTTGGACAGCATGGCGAACTCCACCCCGGGGCAGCCCCTCCTCCCGGCGCCGAAGGGCAGGAACGAGAAGTCCTGCCCCGCACCGCCGTACCCGACGAACCTCTCCGGCGCGAACTCCTCGGCGCGGGGCCCCCACGTCGCCGGGTCGCGGCCGATGGCCCAGGCGTTGATCAGGACCCGGGTGCCCGCCGGCACGTCGTAGCCCAGCAGCCGGGTGTCCTCCAGCGTCTCCCGCGGCAGCAGCAGCGGCGACGGCGGGTGGAGCCGCAGGGTCTCGTTGATCACGGCCCTCAGGTAGGGGAGGCGCGGGAGATGGGCCTCCGTGACGACGGCGCCGGCGCCGGGGCCGACGGCCGCGCGGACCTCGGCCTGGAGCCTGCGCATCTCGTGCGGGTGGTTGATGAGCTCCGCCATGGCCCACTCGAGCAGCGCGAAGGTCGTTGCCGTGGCGGCGGCGAGCACGTCCAGGATGATGGACTTGATGCTGTCCGTGTCCAGCTCGTCGGCGTCCAGCATCACGTCCACGAAGTCTTCCTCGTCCTCGTCCCCGGTGGCGGCGGCGGCGGCACGGCGTCGCTGGCGGTGGTCGGCGATGACCCGCTCCAGCAGCCCGTCCATCTCCTCGAAGACGCGCCTCGCCCTCCGCTCCAGCCCCGTCACCGTGTCCACCCACCGCAGCCACGGCACCGTCTCCCCCATGGGCACCGTGCCGAGCAGCTCCTCCATCTCGCCGAACGCCTTCCTCAGCCTCGCGCCGCCGCCTTCCACCACGCAGTCCGCGTCGCCGAGCGTGCAGCGGGAGATGACCGCGTTGGAGTAGACGGCGAGGCTGTCGCTCAGGTTCACGACGCCGCCAGACCCAGAGATGCGGCCGGCGAGCGCGGCGGCCTCCTGCGCCCGGACGCGGCCCAGGGACGCGACGCGGCGCGCGCTGAGCATGTGGACGGCGCAGACGCGGCGCGCCTGGCGCCAGTGGTCGCCGTAGGGCGCGAAGCCGATGCCGCCGGTGCCGTAGTAGAAGCGGTCGACCATGAGGAGCCTGGGGCGGCCGGCGAAGTCCAGGTCGCGGGTCTTCATGGCCTCCTCCGCCGCGGCCGCGGAGGAGGCCACGACGGTGGGCACGCGGCCGAGCCGCAGGTGCATGACCGGGCCGTGGGACGCGGCCAGCGACCGGAGGCTCCGGTGCGGCAGGCTCCCGAGCAGGTGGAGGTGGCCGACGACCGGCAGGCCCCGCGGCGACGGGGGCGCATTGCTGCCGCGCCTGGTGGAGACGAGGACGGTGATCACCACGACAAGGAAGGCGAGGAGGGTGATGAGCACGGGCGAGTTCCACGGCTCAACAACCATTTCTGCAACCATTCTAGCTAGCTTGTGTCGTGTACCCAAGCTTAACCGGTAGTACTACCCGAAGCCCATGCATTGCCACATGACAAACACGGCGACACTCAAAAGATATTCTCTACACAAACACAAAAGGCACATACACATTGAGCACAAGTGAAGGTGTTATTTCCAGCCATCACATCAATTTTCTTCCTCTCCGCATGAATTGTTGTCAACCTACACACCACAGTTTTCTTCCTTTAACCGAACATGTTCTTTTCAACCCCCATACCCTGGTTTTCTTCCCTCTAGCCCCATGTTTACTCCTCCATCCACAAACAAAAAATTATTCTCGTGGCCGCCGAAGAAATAAAATGTACAAATTCATCCTCGTTAATTTCATCCTTCATGGTGTGTAGGCGATCAGTACGAGAAGGAAGGCGAACAACTCAACAACCATTTCTGCAATCATTCTAGCTTGTGTCGTGCACCCAAGCTTAACCGGTAGTATTAGTTAGAAGCCGGTGCATTGCCAATGCCACGTGACATATACGGCGACACTCAAAAGAGATATTCTGTACACAAATCACAGAAGGCACATACATATTGAGCA